GGAGCTGATAACACTCGAGGCCGATGCCAGCTACCCAGCTAAGATGCCGTCGACGCGCTCGCGTTCGTCGGCGCGCGAAAGTCCATCAGCTCGAAGCCCTGCCGAAGTTGCCTCTCGCCCTCCAGGCCCTCGAGCCTCTAGGCCAGATAGTATGGGGGGTATGTCACTGGAACGGCGCGGAACGCATTGACCTCGGCGCCGAAGTCAATGACGGCTGGAGGCATCCGCATCGCCAGTGCTCGAGCGATTCCTCGAAGTCCACGCCGCAGGGCCGCGGCCCGCTGGGGCGGGGACATCCGCCCAGAGCGGATATATAAACAGGCGTGGAAATCGCGAACGTACACCCGGCACGGGACAGTCCCAGCAAGGTCCCAGGCGGGACCCTGCGTCTGACCACCCACTCGCTCGCGGCTCACATGACCGATGATAGCTCCAAGAACCACCGCGAGTAAGCCACGCACTACCACTGGCCAAGACACGCACCCTGTCGAGGAAGGGAAAAGCGTCGAAATACTTACGCAGGACGAAAGATTTTCCTCTCGGGGTGCAAATGGCGATAATGATGGAAGTTGATGACCGAGCCCCCTACCCTCGTAGAATCTTAACACGGGCGGCTCCCGGGGTCCGCGGATCCGACCCACTCCAAGTCCCCATTTTAGCAAAAATCCCATCATATACAATTAAAACGGGGTAAAAAAAACAACAACAAGTCCCAAATCGGATCCGCGCAGACGGAACTCGGATCCACCGAAACAAACACCAAAGCCACACTTGGACCCGCGCGAACTTCATGGGACCCGACGGCTGTTATCTCACGCGCGTCTGCTCAATGACTTCAAGCCGTCGTTCACGGGCCGAAGAGGAAAAAACTCTCGTCCTGAGGATGTAGTTATGAAACCACCGTCGGCTGCGGTCGCGCTATCACGAGCGGCCGGGCGAGGCGGCGACCCTGCAGGTCGGAGATGCGAAGATCGCTCGCGTTTCCGCGAGCGAAAGTGGATGACCCGTAGTCGAGGAAGTAGTGGTAGATGTCGTAGATGTCGTAGTAGCGGTCGAGGGCCCTCGGGCGCTCGACGTAGAAGGGGGGGGCGGAAGCAAATGACGTCGTAGTTGCGGTCGAGGCTCCACGCACGCTTGACGAACTTGTTGAAGAGAGGGAAGCCTTCATTTTGTCGGTCGAAGTCTCCTCGCGCGTCGATGCCCAGGTGGTCGGGGGAGGAGTCGCAATGGTAGCGGTGCGGAAAATACCCACATAGCAGTCGAACCAGAAGTTGTCCGCGTTCCACTTGTTGTCGTAGGCGAGGGCGGTGGTGCGCAGAGCTTCCGTGGCTGCAACAACTTTGCTGCCAAGTTTGAAAACGGTGCTCCAAAACATGACTGTGTAATGTGAACAGAGTGGAACGGAAAATACGAGATGGCGATGGGCAAAGGTAAAAATCGTTTCTCTCCCAGCGCCTCAGAACGCCGCCAATACTGGCAAATAGGGCGGCGATGCCTTGAGCCGGAACATCGGCGGGCGAGCGGGCATGTTACGTTCCCCCTGGGATGTAACCTCAAAGTAAGGGTACCCACCCCTGCCCTCCCCGAGGTTTTTACAGGGGCCGGCCGCAACGGGCTGGAGCGCCCAAGATGGCCCAAGATGGTTCATGGTTCCAAGAGGGCGCTCGATGCTCCAAGGTGGCCTCTAAAATGGCTCAAGATAGCCGACGATGGTTCGAGATAGCTCCCGACATACCCCCAAGAAACCCAACGAGGGCCACACGACAGTTCCAAGTGTTTTGGGAGCCCCCTTTTCAGGACTCCCCCCCAAGAGGCTAACAATTTTTCAAAAAACAACACAAAAACAACAAAAAAAAAAAAAAAAAAAAAAAAAACGAAGAAATCAATGATGTGTGATTGTTCAGCGTTTCCCTTCCGATACGCTTTTGAGACGCCTAGGTGGCCTCCAGGATGCCCAAGAGGGGCCCAAGAGGCCCCCTCTCACGGCCCCTAGAGCGCCCAAGAACGGCCCAAGAGCACCCCATGATGGCCCCGAGGGCGATGTTGATGGCAGGGGTTGGCGCAAATCGAAGACCTTTTTTCCCCTTTTGATCGATGGCCCCAAGAGCCCCTCCAGGGCACCCAAGGGACCCACCAGAGGGCTTCAAAACCCTCCCGAAGAGCCCCAATAATCCCTATGAAGAACCCAACGAGGGAACAAAAAGGCGATTTTGAGGGCTCTGTCTTCGTCCTCGTCCTCGTCTTTGCCCTCATCGAAATCCGTGTTTTTTTTCCTCTCCCTCGTCGTCGTGGTGGTGGTCGTCATGTTTTTGTTGCCCCCCCTCCTCCTCCTCCTCCTCCTCCTCCTCCTCCTCCTCCTCCTCCCCCTCCTCCTCCTCCTCCTCCTCATCCTCCTCATCATCCTCCTCCTCCTCCACATCATCATCATCATCACCATCATCATCATCCTCATCCTCATCATCACCAGCATCATCATCATCATCATCATCATCATCAACAACGTCATCATCATCAACAGCATCATCAGCAGCATAATCATCATCATCATCATCATCATCGTCATCATCACCATCGTCATCATCATCATCATCATAATCATCATCATCATCATAAGCATCATCATCATCATCATCATCAGCACCATCATCATCATCATCATCATCATCATCATCATCATCATCATCCTCATCATCATCATCATCATCATCCCCCTCCTTCTCCACCTCCTCCATCCCTCGCCCCCATGCGGGCCCCAGGGATGACCCGAAGAGGCCCTCGAAAACCATCCCTTTGCTCCCAGAGATCTCTCTGTTCAACCCTGGAAGCCCGCAATGTTTCACCACACGTGTCTATTTGTCCATTTCCCCGACAACTCGCACGGGCGGGGTTTTTGAAAGGGCTGGTGGGGATACTTTTTGTTGTTCGCGAGAGGCAAGAGAAAGCCAGGTGCCGTCAGAAGACGCAGCTATCGAGCAGCGGACTGAATTCCGCACAAGAGCGCACAAGAGCGAGCTGCGCTGCGGCACAAGCGGGGGACCTAGCGGAGACACAGGTCGACGTGCAGCACCAAAACGGCGAAGTTCATGATGTTCACGTACACGATTACGACGAGCGGGCGTGCAGGCGCTCAACGGAGAAGCTCAGGATCGCAGGCGGGGATGGCGACCACGGGCGAATCGCAGGCCCGAGAGCCCAAGGGCACCCCGAATGGAAGGGGCATGCAGGTCATCCTCAGGGCGCCCAAAGTGGCCGCGGAGAGGGAAAAAGCTGCAGCATGGCGACCACGGTCGGGGGGGGTCCCAGCGACCTCATGCACAAAGCTGGGGCGGCGGGGGGAACCGTGAGAGACAAACGCGGTGCGAGGGTGACTCCTTTGCAGAGCCTATCTACGGCGCGTATGCACTCACCGAAGACGTTGGCCAGAGCCGCGTAGGAAGGGCCTAAAGCCACACCGATAGCGGAGTGCGGCGGCAGGGCCCGCGCCGTGTGTAGCGACACGGCGGTGAAACCCCCCAAGCGCCTCGGCGGTCTCGTGGCGGGAGACGGTGGAGGGGGCCTGGGGACCCCGGTGCGCCGCTTAGGGCGGGTGCAAGGGGGGGGGGGGGGGGGGCGACCCTGTGCCCGGGGGCGTGGGGCCACAAGCAGCCCGTAGCGAGAGCGAGCTGGGGGGCCAGAGGAGAACCGGCGCCCCCAGCTGGGTGCCCGCCGGGCGTTACGGGTCGCGAAGCCAGGGCGGCCAACAGGGTGGCCGCCAGCGGGGGGCGACAAAGTGGTGGGCAAGGTGGTGGACAAGTCAGTTGTGCGGCAGGTCACCCTCGAGGTGGCCGTCGTGCTGTTGGAGCCGCTGGTACTAGCCGCCGAAGACCTCGTCCAGGGCAGCGTGGTATTGTATGACCATGTCGTATCCGTCAGCGCAGTGCGAAGCGTGAAGACTTACCCAATGTTAGCAAGCGTGGCCCCCAAAAAAATGTGTTTCGAGCAATGTATGTGTTGCTCTCTATATGATGCAATATGAGTGGTGCGATCTATGTGAAGCATCATATACAGTACAATGTAGTGCGATGTACGCTGTGTAAGAAGTAATGACGAGGCGGCGACGGGGCGGCGCTGGCGGCAACACAGCCGCCAGACCTGCAGACAGGCCCAGCTCCTCAGAGGAGAAGGAAGAAGCCCTAAGTGCAAGCACTGCTTGTGGGAGAATGAATACTAATATCCTCTCTCCCCGTTTCCTGTCCGAGCGGGGCAACTTTTGTCCCGCTTGTATGCTCTCCTCCCGCTTCCTGTCCGAATGGCGCTCATCTTGCTGTTTCAATCGGACCTTTCCGGTGTTTCAGAATTGTGCTCACGCTGCGGCGTTGGCCAGACTGTCGGATCGACGATTGCCCCCGCCGATCAGAATGAAATGGCGCTCTCGCCCCAGCGCAGGTCACGGTGCTGAATCCGAGTCCTTCCTCGTCGCTGTCGCCCCGCTACTTTCCCATCCTCAAGCCCTTCCCTGGTCATCCTGCTCCCCCCGCTCCTCCTCCTCCTCCTCCTCCTCCTCCTCCTCCTCCTCCTCCTCCTCCTCCTCCTCCTCCTGCCGCTTCATCCTTGTACCTCGTCCTCATCCTCCTGCTCATCCTCTTGCTCATCCGCCAACTCCTCCTCCTCCTCCTCCTCCTCCTCCTCCTCCTCCAATTTGCGCAGCTACCCTTTTCGGAATGCGCAGAACTCGATTGGGTCCGTTGGGGCAGGTCAGCTCTGAGACCCCTCGGCGCACAGAGAAAAAGTGAGCGCAGTGTACAGTGATGGGTGGAAGTGGTAGGGTATGAGGAATGGCGCCAGCGCACCCAGCTTGCCGTCTCTCCCATTCCTTCTCCGCTCCCTTCTCCTCTCCCACCACTCTCCCCCCCTCTCCCTGCGTTTCCTCCGTCTCCCTCTCCTCTGACTGCTATTTCTTCTTTTTCTTCTCCTCCTCTTCATCCTCCTCCTCATCCTCCCAGCCAGGAGGGGGGAAGTACCACATGTGCTCCGCAGCGGTGTCCCACTCCTCAAGCGGGAAGAGGCTCTTGAAGCGCTGCGTGTCCATGAGGAACTGGTGGCGGGTGACGATGCCGCCCCACTTCTCCCAATTCATCTTGAAGAGCGCGATCTTCTGGTTTGCCTCGGGGTCCTCCCACTTTCCGTGGAAAGCCTCTCCGCGAAGCGGGCGCTTCTGCGACAGCCACTGATCCTTGCTCCAGCCTTGCAACATCCCCTTCACACGCTCGATAGGGGTGCTGCCATGCACGGAACCAGGAATTACTGCGAACTTGTTGTACGGGTTCTTCTGGGGTTCAAGGTTGAACGTGTTGATAACCGAGGCCATGTAGACCCGGCTGTCCGACTTCATGAGAGAGAGTGCCTTCTCGATAAAGTTAGGGGTGCTCCTCGAGAAATTGCTCCTGTAGAGACGCCACTGCGCATCCATGTGGTACACGTACTGGCTCTTGGCCTGAAAGTTCTCGTCCAGCGCCATGGTATTGATGTACATGTTGTCGTAGAAGCTGCTATTTTTCTCCCCATCTGCAATGGCATAGTGCTCGAGCGCCCGCTGCCGCAGCTCCTGGGAGCCGTAGTCCATGACCTTCACCTTCCACTGGGGGGCAGCGGCAGGGCAGTGGTCGCGCAGCAGCTCCGCGGCGGCCTTAGCGGTGGCGGTGGCCGCCGTCGAGAGCCCAGAATCCACGTTGAACCTCTTGACGGTCTGGCCAGCAGCCAGACGCATCTCGCTGAAGGACCCGGGAACATCTTTGGGGGTGACGATGTGGCTGGTGACGTTGCCAGGCGTCTCTGGGCCGAGCTTGTCGTGGCCTACGTGGGGAACGTCGAGGATGACAAGGATATCGCTGAAGCAGAACCGCATGGCGCGGAGGGAAGCCAGCACATTGCGATGCATCTCCTGGAAAGACGGCTGCCCCCACTTGTGGCCGCTGCTGCGGCAGCCCGCCACTGGATCGCAGTGGGTGTTGTAGCTGAAGGTGACATCGGCGCCTGGGACGGTGAGCCAAGCGTCGGCGATCTCAGCAGCCTCGGTCTCGTTGAGGGGCTCCGCGAAGCCCTCCAGTGCGGATGAGGCGTCGACCTCCATCTCTGCCCTGTGCAGGTTGCTCGACATCGACTCCCTGATCCCTTCCAGCGCTGACGCCTTGAGCTCCTTCGTCTTGGCGAGCTGGTCCTCCGAAGCCTTGTCCTGAAGGGCAACGTTAAAGGGGGACTGGCTCAGAGGGGGAAACATCGACCTCGAATCGGCGATGCATCGCCGATGGATCGACGATAGGCACCCGATAGCGAAAGCGCAAGTTCCTATGCGGGGTGGGTCATCGGGCCCCTTATCGGCGATCACTGTGCGACTGGGGGTCGATGGGTCCCCCCTGACCCCTGAGCATATCCCCCCTACCGTTGCCACTGGCGGCTCTCGGACCATAACTCGGGCCTCCAGCCTCCAGCGGCCGTTCGGGACACGATCAGGGCACCCCCAGAACGCTCTCGGCGAGGCGCAGCCGCTGAAGGGCACGAGAACGTCCGAAAACCTCCAAACTCGAAGCCCTTCGTCCCCCCCTGAGCGCTGCCGCTGGCGTCCTCCAGGTCATCGAACGACAGCTCCTGGCCCCACGGGCGCGCCTCCTGGGCAGTCATCCAGGCGGGCGCGTCGGGGGACTCGGGCTGCGCCTTGAGGCCCCGGGCGCCCCAGGGCAGGAGCGCGGCCACCGTGGCAGGGCGCAGCATCGGCATGGCAGCGCCTCCGTGCGGCGCAGGGCGCAAAGCAAAGTGACACAGAATTTACGAATGCAGTGGGAGCCTGCAGCTGCGAGCCGTGCGCAGGTGCCGGAGGTGCCGGGGAGGGAGGGGAGCGGACGGAGCGGGATCGGCAGGGCGAGCAGATACAAGATGTGGACAGGGGGAGATGGGAAGAGGCAGCAGAGCGCTCGGCGAGCGCGATGAAGACAGGTACGGGAGACGGAGAGAGAGGGAGAGACACTGAAGGAGGAATAAGAATCAGCATCTGAGGATCATGGTGCTTGGACGGGACGAAAGGTCTGAATGGAAGATGCGAGAAAACCAAACTAGAGGCAGGGAGGCGAGGGGAGGAGAGGGGATGCGAGGGAGAGGGGGGCGAGGACGAGAAACATGGAGGAGAGACGGTGATGAGGAGGAGGGAGAGGAGCGCTGCCTGCTTGCGCCCTGCAGGTGCGCAGTGCCAGCGGCGCCTGTGCCCACTGCCGGCGGCACCCGTATACCCAAGACCATCAGCCCCATACCAAGTGCCAACGGCGCCCATAGTCAAGGTCAGCGGCACCGCCCATGCCCGAAGTCACCGGCGCCCATACCGAGCGCCAGTGGGCGCCCATACCCTGTACTAGCGGCGCTCACACCTGAGGCAAACGGCCATGGACTAACCTGCAAAGCAGGAGCCACCGTTGCCCTTGAGCTTCCCACCGTTTCCTTTGCCCAGTTCCCCAGGGAGTGTTTGCACTCAGGGTTCTGAGCTGTGGACTGAAGACCTGGCCCCGACGGTCGATTTGGCGGCCATGTTGCCGCCGTCGCCGCCCCGTCGCCGCTTCGTCGCCACCCGCCGTCTGGGCCGAACCGTCGGCCTGGCGGCCATGTTGCCGCCGTCGCCACCCGTCGCCGCCTTGTCGCCGCCCGCCGTCTGGGCCCGACGGTCGGTCTGGCGGCTAAAGTTGCCGCCGTCGCCGCCCCGTCGCCGCTTCGTCGCCGCCCGTCGTCTGGGCCCGACGGTCGGTCTGTCGGCTAAAGTTGCCGCCGCCGCCGCCCGTCACCGCCTCGTCGCCACCCATATATAGATTCTCCTCTCGAGATAGACTCTACCCCCCTGGGATTATCGGCCACCCCTCTTCATATTGCAATTGACATACGATTCTGCCCCAGCGTCCATCGTACACTCGTTTATCAAAAATCATCGCGATTATCCTTGTAAAAGATGAAACGAAGTGCATACGCGCGCGTCGTCGCGCGCGCATGCCGAATTCCGTCCAAAACCTTTGGTTTCGTAGGGATTTCAAAATCGAGCGTCAAAAAAATATATCATTACCCCAGTGCGACCCTACCTAGAAGTTGAAGCCCCTACGAAAGTAGCATTAGTTGCTATGATATGCTATGTTATGCCATGCTATGCTGCGCTATGCTATGCTATGCTATGTTATGCTATGATATGTTGCGCTATGCTATGCTATGTTCTGCCATGCTATGCTGTAGTAAGCTGCGCTATGCCATACTTTGCTATGATATGTTGTGCTATGCTATGTTATGATATGCTGCGCTATGCTATGCTATGCTATGCTTGGCTATGGTATGCCATGATATGCTATGCTGCGCTGTGCTGTGCTACGCTATGCTATGCTATGCTGTGCTCTGCTAAAGCTCGGCGAAGCGAAGATGAAGGTAAGCTAAGCTAAGATAAACCTGAGCTAAGATGAAGCTAAGCTAAGCTAAGATGAAATAAGCTACGCTAAGATGAGATAAGCAACGTTAAGCTAAGGGAACGTCACTGGGGGAACCGCGGGGCGGATCCTGGGGGACCGCCTGGGGCGGTTTACACTACCCGGCGAAAACTTTCTTCGCTGAAGCATTCTATGGGGCCACGAAGCGCTGCATTGGGTGGGGGAGAATGAATGCGGGCGGTGGCACCAGGGCCTTCGGTGAAGCTCCCTATGGGGCCACGAAACGCTGTAATGGGTGGTGGGGACGCATGTGGACGGTAGCACCAAGGCCTTCGGTGAAGCTCCCTATGGGGCCACGAAGCGCTGTACTGGGTGGGTAGACGCATGCGGGCGGTAGCACTGGGGCCGCCGGTGGAGATCCCTATGGGGCAACGAAACGTATGAAGGGTGTGCCAAATTTGCTTTCCGGGACGCAGGCGGACGATCCCACTGGGGGTTTCAGTGGAGTTCCCTGAGGCCATGGAGCGCTGTACTGGGTGGATGAAAATGCCGGGACACACGCGGACGGCCCCAGTGTGAGTTTCGGTGGAGCTCCGCATGGGGCCACGAAACGCTGTACTGGGTGAAATTGGCATTCCCCGGCGCACGCGGACGGTCCCAGTGGGGGCTTCGGTGGAGCTCCCTAGAGGGCCATGAAACGCTGCAATGGGTGGGTGACAATTCCAAATTGGGCTTCCAGAGCGCATGCGGACGGTCCCACTGGGGGCTTCGGTGGAGCCCCCGATGGGGCCACGAAACAATGAAAACGCCAAATTGAATTTCCGGGACGCACGCGGACGGTCCCACTGGGGGTTTCCGCGGAGCTCCCTATGGGGCCACGAAACGCTGTACTGGGTAGACGAAAATGCCGAATTGGTGGGGGAGACCGTTGGAGCTCCCTATGTGGCCACTAAACGCTGTACTGGGCGAGTGGAAACGCCAAATTGGGTTTCCGGTGGGGGTTTCGGTGGAACTCCCTATGGGGCCACGAAACGTTGTACTGTGTTAATGAAAATGCCAAGTTGGGTTTCCGGGACGCACGTGGACGGTCCCATTGGGGGCTTCGGTGGAGCCCCCTATGTGGCCAATAAACGTTGTAGCGGGCGAATGAAAATGCCAAATTGGGTTCCTGGTGGGGGTTTCGGTGGAGTTCCCGGTGGAGCCACGAAACGCTGCACTGGGTGAGTGAAAATGCCAAAATTGAGTCTCGGGGACGCATGCGGACGGTCCCACTGGCGGCTTCGGTGGAACCCCGTCTGGCATTGCAAGAATGCGCTCTTCCCGTCTGCCTGCTCCGAAAGGAGCCTGGGTGCATGCGGTTCGCACCAGCGCGCTGCCATCAGGTTGTTCTTCACAGGCGAGGGCGCTCTCAACGCCTGCGAGGTTATGGAAAGAGCGCTCGGCCAGCAGAGCACTAGGGTTCCAGAGGTCACGGTGCGGCTGGCTGCGACGGTGCATGGACGCGGCGACGACGCAGTCGAGTACCTGAGGCGCATCGAAAGGAGGGGTTCTCTCGGATATCAATGAGTGCCAGACGGCGATACATCGCCGACAGGTCGGCGACACTCCCCAAAGAGCGAAACAGAAACATCCTGGGCACGGCGGGGCACCCAGGCTCCGATCGGCCATTCACGCGCTCTTGGGTAACGATATTATCCTTTTGTGCCCCCCCCCTGCTGATGCGTCAGAGTACCTGTTCGGGGGCCCAATGGAAGTAGACGTCGGCGGATATGTCTCGTAGCTGTTGCACGGCGACGTCTGCTCCTCCCAAGAAAGTTGCAGCGGGGATGTTCGCGAGAACGCGGCGTACTGGAGACCCCCCCGCGAGCACCATCTGGGCGAGGATACCAGCCACGCTGTGGAATAAACAATCTCCGCGGCCACCATATTCGACACTATGGATTGCGTCAGGCGGCGGAGACAGGCGTTCCCGACGCCGCGCAATAGTCGTGCAAGTCTTTGGAGACGGGCTGCAACACGCCCTGCGCCCAGCGCAATGCAGAAGCAGCGTCGCATGTCGGCGACAACACATACAGTCGGCAGGTTGGTACATCCGGTGTGCATCCCAATTGTCCACATGCATCGCAAGCACGTCGTTGCGTGGACGTGGTTATGCGAGACTGTTGGCTCTCTGCATGGCCCGCCACACCGTCGTCCATTGCATCGTTGTCGCCAACCCCATGATCCGTGCTGGGTGTTCCAAGAGGTGCCGTGCAAAATTGGGCCTCGTCGTCTGTCGGTGGGGAAGGGAATGCGTCGGGTGCACCTGGAGCGGTGGCATTCGCATGCGATGTGGCCTTGGCCAATGCCGCCCGGAGAGATGCGGAGCGACTTGTGCCGAAGACGTTGTCGATGAGCACTGCGGCTGGAAATTCTGGCGGCGGTTCGCGCCCGTGTTGCACAGGCGCATGTCCGGGGCCTCTGGCAGAGGCTGCGCACTCACGGGACTCAGCGGCCGCTGCTGCGAGCTCCCGTGCAGCGGCCGCGGCATCTGGCGAACGGCACGACGCTGCACCGTCCGCATCCTCGCGCATGGAGTCCGCACCGCCGAGATCCACGTCGCGCGCCACCTCTGCTCGTGGTGCTGCGCAGCAGCGTCCGCTGCTCTGTGGGAGGCAGAGCCGTTGCGGTTCCCAGAGATACCCCGCGCAGTTGGTTCAGGCGCCGACGTCGTTCCCGAGGTCGTGCTCCGCGTCGCTGGGCACGTACCGGCGTTGATCTCTCCAGGACGATCGCCGACTCGGGGTCGTTTGAGATCGCGAGCGCAACCGTAGGGAACGCCGACGGATTTGCCCCGAATTGTTCTGCGTGCGTTGTCGTCACCAGCGCGGGGCTGCGAAGTGGAAGTCGGGACGCCCCGCCAAAAGGCGGACAACTCCTTCGTCTGCTGCGAGGCGCCGCGGGCGCGAGGACCAGATCCACGATCTCAGATGTGAGTAGTTCTGCTTTCAGATGTCGAATGATCTGCACCAGCTCGTCCAGCGATGCCATCTCCATGTCGGCGAGCCTGGCAATCTCGTCCAAGATGAACTGCGGGGGTGGCCCAGAAAACTCTCGTCTGGTAGCAGGGCGCAAGATGAGCAAGCCGTCTAGGGATATTGGTCGCGACAACATAACATAGCATGCCAGCCGGTGTGCGTCGGCGCCCATGGACGGTGGTTTTTTCACGTCGGCAACCACTGCGGCAAATGTGCCGCCTTGGGCGCCGTACACAATGATGGTGGCTGCCGGCAGTAGACGGCACATGGCACGGCGGACGGAGAAGGTGTCCTCCTCCTACGCGGCGCGGACGTAGCCGTAGGTGCGTTTCATCTGGGACAACCCCCGGCTGTCGGTGCACGTCGGCAGGTCTCCAGCGAGGTCTGCCGCAGGAAGCGCCCACTCAGCGCCGTCTGCTTGCAGCCACAAAGTCACAGGCACGCACTGCAAGTGCACCACGTTGTCGCCCAGCGGATCAGCAGGAAATGCTTCTCCGTTGGCGAAGACGACGTGGCGGAGTGCGCAGACGCAGCCCTTCATGAGGCCGAGCCGCACGCAATCCTTCGAGTACATCGTGAGGCGCATGCCGACGTAGAGGGGCAGCAAGCTGGGGAGGTCCTGCGTATCTTTCGGGGCGACCTTTTGGAGGAGTGCCCAACAGACCTCATCTGTCACTTTGCGTGCGTCCACGGGGTCGACCGGCTCGTCGCGGGCCTGGACAATGTACAAGGGTTGCCCCGTTCGCAATGTCTGCTGCTTGGCATTTTCCATTGACCAAAATACCCGAATCTTGTCTGTGAACAATGTACGTCCATGGATTTGTTGCAAATGGCGATGACGTGTCTGCTGGTCAAGCGTCGTCGGACGACAGAATGCGGCTGGCGCATACGGCCCACAACGCATCCGAAATGTGGCCGGCACGCATCTCTCCGAGCAGTCGACTGAGGGGCCCCGGGGCGCGGACGTTGATGTCCAGCGCCGAGGAGGGACACAAAGGGCCGAGACGGGACGGGGCGGGCTGAGAAAGGACGGTACGGAGCGGGAGGGAAGTACAGAGGGAGGGAGGAGGGAAAAGAGAGGAGGGAGGGGGAGGGGAGAGGGAGGGGGAAGGAGTGGAAAAGGGCGTGGGGAGGCTGTCCAAGCATTGGCAACTACGGCCGTTGATGATAGAAATGATACGGGTTGCGGCCTTCGGCATGCTGTCTTAGACCTTGCGGCAATAAGATATGGGGGAGGATGAAGGGAGGGAGAAGTGCACTTATTTGTTACTTTCGTGCCAAAGGTGAAACGCTAAATCTCCGCAGGCAATAGCGGGGGCGAGCAGCAGCTGACCCTGGGCTGCGCAAGGCGCTACCGTTGCCACTACCTCCGAACTTACATAGAGTGCCCACAGCCATGGAGTCACCCAGAGCGCCCGTGGGGGACAGGAGGAGGGGAGAGAGAGAGGGAGAGATAGGTGGGAAGTGACAAGCCAGGCGCGCTCGCGCCATATCTGACATTCCACCTCTCCCACTCATCCCTTCCCATTCGGCTGAATTCGCTTACATCCGCCAGCGAGGGTGTCCTACAGGGCCATGATCCCCCAAATGACCTCATCGTGTGACGCGCAATCCGAAAGGGGGCGCGTTGTGCCTGGACGAAGAAGAGGAAGAGGAGTGGCGGATGAGCAGGAAGACGAGCAGGAGGTACGCAATGACGAGGAGGGAGGAGCAGGGAGGAGCAGAAGGAGCAAGAGGAGGAGCAGAAGGAGCAGGAGGACCAACTGGGGGGGGCCCTGGAAGGCGGAGGGGGAACGGAAGGGGGACGGCAACCAAGAGGAACGAGTCGGATGCGGAAGTGTGGCCAGCTCTGGGACGAAAGCGCGAATCTGTGACGACGGGTGCAGAGCGCTGGTGCTGAAATGCGGCTAGCGCCAGGGTGGGAGCCCCGCTTTCAGGACAGAGCACAGTCCGACGGGGGGAAACCGATGCGTGCGAAACCGTGTGCAAACATGATAAATGCGGGAGGTGGGCGCCTCCGCACAACATCGTACCAAGGGAGGAGAGGAAGATATGTTCATAGGGTGTTATGTGATGTAGAAGGCAGAGGACCGGAGAATATAGGAGAGCCGCGCGTCGGCCAGAGATGTCCGAACGCGCGGGGAAGATGGGTGCCTGCAACGACAACTTGTCATTCCAAATGCGTGCTCAGATGCGTCACCTAAAACCAACGGCGGGCGAGCAGCTCATCGAACCCAGGTACGCCGTTGTGATGCAGCTGTGCCCCTCACATGGATCAGGAGGCATGCTTCGTGCCGTTTCCATCGGCTCTTAGATGGAGAACGGATGCTAAAACAGAGGCAGAACAAGGCCCTCGAGATCCGCGGGCCCCTTTCACGGGGCACACACCCCGCCCCACCCTCTCAGAAATCTATCCTAGGACCTCCTCTGGGGTGGCTTGTCACCAGAACTTCGAGGCGGCTCCAGCCGTGGCGACGAGGAGCCCCCAGGGGGCTCAAAAAGAACGAACAACTCCGAAAAGCCTGGATCCTCGAGGTTCGAAAGTCAATCCTCCTCTTCCTCCTACTCCTCCTCCTCCTCGTCCTCGTCTTCCTCCTCCTCCTCGCTTCGCTTCGGTTCGGTCGCAGGCAAGGGGAACGATGCCTGTACAGATCAGTGACAGAGTAGAGGGAAGCAGGGACGGGGAGCAGAGACAGCAGCACAAATCCTAAAAGAAGCATGAGAACGCTGCAGCCGCGCAAATGCGCGAGACTACAAGGGGCACTCACCTGACCTACTACCTTCGACATGGGCATACATGCGAGGCGGGCAAAGAAAGGTCAGTAGTGAGGGTGAAGAAGAGCCTTCACTCCGATGGGAGCGGTACTGCCAAAAGGGCGCATCGCATCCTTGGATGCGAATTGTTTGTGCTACTATTTCTTAATGCGAATGGACACCCGGCGGCAACCGGCGAGGGTGCGGCGTCACGTTCGCACGAAAGGCCTTCCCGCCAACGGAGCAACAGTCCATGGGCAACGGAGAAGGGTCGGCGAGCTCCGAAGCCCTCACATCGCACAGCAAAGGTCGGTCATTCGCGCGGGCGCCTGCGAGTAACACGAAGCATGCAATCAGAAGAGAAGCGAGTCTCATTGTATGGGGCCGAGAAGGGCGTGAAATCTTCTGAGGCTCTCTGGAAGGAGCCAGCCATCTCCTGGGTCCGAGAGGTCCACCCTGCGTCTGGGCTCCGCCTATCTCTTGAGAGACCAGGCAAGCGGTTCGTCATCGCCTAAAACTGAACCTGGAGCGCTGCCCCTGGGAACTCTGGCCTGGACAACGCAAGAGAGTTCTGGATACCTGCCCCTGACGTCCTGCAATAGTGTCGATGCCAGCACGAAGCACATGTCAAACGGGCACGACGTGGCCGCTGCTGCGCCCCACGCGTTGGAAACCGACAGCCCGTCCAGCGCACGATGCGACCGCGCACCGTTGCCAAGAGGACAACCTCGCATCTGAGAAAACCGATGAGTCTATTCAGACACACGCACTGCAAGCAACACTCTTGGTTCGACGACCCTGGCCCCAAATCGGCACTGGTTGGTGGCGTGCTTGCATGTTCCCGGCATGGACACTAGTGCCTTAACCTCGAGGAGCAACAGAACACTGGGCCATCCTGTCACATGGGAAGAATGCGCCGGGTGCTCCATCACATCTGGAGTGTGGCTCTCCCAGGCCTCAACCATGAAAACGAGAGCTGCCCTCAACAGCTCATTAGCCACCGAGGCTTGCTCGGATTCAACCGTAGATGAATGTCCTAGTCCTAGTCCCCATAAGTATTGATCAAGGGGCCCAAGGACACACAAAAAAAATACATATTTTCTGGGTTCTTGTCTTCCCGCCCACTTCCCATATCTTCCCATATTTTCTGGGGGATCGACGACTAATTGTGTCTGTGTGTTTTTTCCCCTCCTGACTTGATACGACCTCGGCGGGCGAGAGGGGGCCCCCCCTGGCGCAGGGGGCAGGCCCGCGCCTGGCCGCCGACCAGGACTCACGAGGGGGCCCGCCGGGGCTGCCGCGGCCCGCCCGATCGGAGCATCTCCAGGCAAGTGGCGATGGCAGGGGGCCACGTGCGAACCCCACCCCTGCCCCCCACGACTTCTGAGGGGGAGGGCGGGGTGCACTTCGCTCGGGGTGAACTTCACTCCGAGCGAAGTGCACCCCACCCTCCCCCTCAGGAGTCGTGGGGGGCAGGGGTGGGGTTCGCACGTGGCCCCCTAGACGGACTCCCGATCCGTCGAGTCTCCGAGGGCCGAGCGGTCGACAACGTCCATGCTCAGGACAACACACCTCGTGGGGAGCGCCTCGAAGCGCTCCTCCGATGTGCCCCGAGAGAGGGTCGAGGCAAGTCTGGGTGGCCCTGCGGGGAGACGGGGAGGAGACCAAGCCAAAACAGGGGGGAAGGGAGGCGGGCGCCACGGGGGGATCGCCGGCTGGGCGCCCTCCCCGGACACGCTGGGCACCCCGGGCCCGGGAGCGACGAGGGGCAGCTCCTCAGCGGAGGGGCGGCGCCTCGGACGGGCCCACGCCAACCCGCACAGTGGCGCGCTGCCCAGAGGCTTGACCAGTCTAGTTGCCCGTCGGAGGTCGCGAAGACACACCTGACAGCAAGCGCCTGTGGCCAGTCTGGAAGGAGTCATGGCAGAGCAGTGAAATTTGCCAACAGGCGCTTTCGGCTGTCGATGCGTCTTGACTACATGACCACACTCACAGCAAACGCACCCTGGCTCATTATCCGAGGGGGGGGGGGGGCAGCCAAGGGGGTGCCGAATCCCCCTTCTCTAAGCCAGTGTCTCCAGAGTTCCAAATGAGCCTCGTCCAAGAAAAATGCCCTGGCCTTCTGTACCCTATTCGATACAATACTGAAGGATCTGGGCGTGTCTCTGGCGAGCGATGTCCACGCCTGCGACTGACCTTCTTCGGGAGCGGGGACCTCGGATGTAAGGAAATTGAGCCATGTTGCATCCTCTCTAGCAAGTTGCGGCAATCCAAGGAAGCCACCCCAGTCGAGGTCCAAGACAACGTGGACCAAGGGGCGCCCTTAGTTATGATGCGGGGTAAGAGACTGAAGCCGCCTACACTTAGAAGCATAGCAGCAGGCAGCCTCTGAACGTCAAACCGAACTTTGACCGATTCACGGTGCCCATCAGCATCGCTGGAGGCAGCCAGACCCAAAGCTACCCTGTAAACACAGATGTGGGCCATATTGAGATCCCTGGCAAGCTGATCACTGAGCCCGGCCCAGACTGAGGACCCAAACAAAATCACCGAGGAGGCCAGAGCCTCGGCTGGAGTGACCTTCGCCCTCACCGACAAGGCAGATCGCGGGGCTACGGAAGGGCGAATGGATCCAGCTGCCCAAGCAGCCACGTCCGGCCCCAAGGGTACATCCAAGACAACCTGTGATGATTTGCGAACGGGGACGACAGGAAAGCTAAAACCCTAAGCGTAGGACCGACCGTCCACGAGAGCTCCTCCTGGCAGCGCAGTCTCTACCTCACGGGGGCCCTTGCCACGCAGGGCTAGCGGCAACAGCTTGGCATTATAGTCTCAGGAGTGTGAAAGCCCATTTTGGCTGCTGCACAGACGCACACACTCAGGTAACAACCACGCCTTGCCCCGCATTTGGAGCGGATCCTCAACAACCGTCATTACTGTTCAATCGTCCACGAAAGATGGCTCGGCCTGAGAGCGATCCCAGCCCTGGTAAACAAGCAAAGAATGACGTCGGAGTGTCGAGGGTCTCCTGCAGCGCCAGTCCAGCCACCTGGACTCCCGGGCGCATGCCCACATGTGCTTTCTGAAAGACCGAGTCGAATACATCCGCGGCCCCAACCGCACCAGGCGTGGGCCCAAGGTGCGGGGTCACAAAGTCCCGAGCATCCCTGACCTGCCAGAACGCGCCTCCCTGGGTCTCCTGAACCAGTCCCACGAGGTCTCCAGGGGAAACACTTCTCCAACAGGGGGCCCCTCTGGAGTTGGGCTTCGATCCCTTGGTCATGGACGGAAGGCAGCCCGAGATTGTTCGGGACATCCTCGAATCGGTCTTCTTCCCCTGGGAAATGCAGCGCCGGCTGCTTGATAGCGGCACAAGAAACCAGAACTAAGTCCAAGCATCGAATTGCGTCCGACCTCTCGGCATGTATGCAAAAGCGAATGAAAGAACGGGCGGCAAGCGCGATCATGTCTGCGCCCCCCCCTCTCGCATTGCTCGGGGAGTAGAGCCCTAGCAAAAGATATTGGGCGAGGGATCTGACACGCTTGCGGCACAACTTACAAACCGAGCCAACAAACAAGCAAAACGTCGCGTTGATTCGCGGCCAGAAGGGGCCCCAGGGCCCAAATAGAAATAAATAATTTCGCCCAACTAGAAAATGGAGGGCCCCCGACGCACCAGGGCGACGCTGGCCAGAAGTGGGCACTGTAGGCGAGCAAGCTGCTCGGGAGCAATCTAGAAGATGCAACTGGGAAGTCCATCGACCCCCGAAGGCGCGCCCTTCCTGGAAACCATCAAAAGATGTTCTAGATCCAGGCGTGTATGTACATAGCTTAATAGGTGTTCCTGGATGTCCGTGAAAAGATTGAGCAGCTCAAAGAAGTGCATCATGGCCTCAATGCCTAAATGAGTCCTTGATCCACATGGCAAAAATGCCGCTGCATATTAGCCGCGACTGGGTCATGCGTGGCAAGGATGCGAGGTTTAGCCTTTCTATGAGAGAGCGCGTTTCACGAGCGCTCGCCTTGGGAACATTCGGCGGCGCGTTTCGAACCGGGTAGGGGCCCCCCCCAAAACACTCGGCGCCGTCGATCAGAACAAGGGGGACTCCCCTCACCCTCCCCCTCCCGAACCCCCCCCCCCTTCGGCGCTGGCGCCGGCGCCCGCGCTGGCGGCCGCCAGCAGCGCCGACGGCGGGGACGCAGCGACGATGACCAGAAAGGGCCCAGGGGAAGGGGGGGGGTCTCCAAAACCCCCCACCCCCCTGCGCTGGCGCCAGCGCCGGCGCTGGCGGCGGCCAGCAGCGCCGACCCCGGGAACGCAGCGACGAATACCAGAGACAGAAGCCACCGAGAGGCCCTGAGGAAGGTGCACGAGGCTTCACACATGCTCCTCAGACGCCTGCGAGACCCTTCTGACGAGGCCTCAAGAGGCATCATCTATTCGAACTCTGACCCAAAGCCAAAACACGGTGGCCGGAAGAACCGAAGGCCAAACCACCACCACAAACCACCACACCACTACCACCACCGCCACCACCACAGCCACCACAATCACCACAACCACCATCACCACCACAACCACCACAACCACCACAACCCACCATCAAAACAACCAC